CCCCCGACCCCCCCAACGCCCCCTGTGCCCCCCACCCCCCCTTCTTCCTCATCCTCAGCACCCCCCCCATCTCCATCCACACCACGGAGCTGGCGGTGCGGCTGGAGCTGTCCACGTGAGCGGGCGGGGGGCTGCGACCCCCGCGTGGGGATGGGACCCCCGGGCTGGGGATTGACCCCCGGGATTGGGGGATGGGACCCCCGGGTGGGGATGGGACCCCCGGGCTGGGGATTGACCCCCGGGATTGGGAATGGGACCCCCGGGATTGGGGATGGGACCCCCGGGTGGGGATGGGACCCCCGGGGTGGGGATGGGACCCCCGGGATTGGGGGATGGGACCCCCGGGGTGGGGATGGGACCCCCGGGTGGGGATGGGACCCCCGGGATTGGGGATGGGACCCCCGGGGTGGGGATGGGACCCCCGGGATTGGGGATGGGACCCCCGGGATTGGGGATTGACCCCCGGGTGGGGATGGGACCCCCGGGTGGGGATGGGACCCCCGGGATTGGGGATGGGACCCCCGGGTGGGGATTGACCCCCAGGGTGGGGATGGGACCCCCGGGCTGGGGATGGGACCCCCGGGATTGGGGATTGACCCCCGGGCTGGGGATGGGACCCCCGGGATTGGGGGATGATACCGCCGGGATTTGGGGTCAGAGCCCCCGGATTTGGGGTCAGACCCCCCGTGTTTGGGGTGAAACCCTGGGGAATTTGGGGGTCAGACCCCCCAGACCCTGGGGACCAGACCCTGGAGGATTTAACAACACCCAGGCAGTTTTAGACTCCATCCCCCCAACATTTAGGGTCGGGGGGCTGCAATTTGGGGTTCAACCCCCCCCGCACTGCCTTGGGGGTTTTTTTGGGGGGTCTCACCTCGCCCCCCGACCCCAATTCCCCCCCAGCACCAGCGAGCAGCCGGGGCTGGAGCCGGTGGTCGCCCGCGTCCGCGTGGTCATCGAGCTGCCCCTGGCCGTGATGGGGTGAGTGGGGAGGGGGTTTCGGGGTGCCGGGGGGCGGTTTGGGGGTCGGGGACCCCCCCTCACGGCTGGGCTCTCCCCGCAGCGTGGCCGTGCCCCCCCGGGTGTTTTTTGGGGGGCAGGTGGTGGGGGAGAGCGCGGTGAAGAGGGAGAGCCAGGTGGGGAGCGCCGTCAGCTTCGAGGTCACGGTGAGAGACCCCCAAAAACAGAGACCCCCAAAACCAGAGACCCCC